TGAAAAAATGTTACTGTTAAAAAGTACAATGTTCCCAGAAGGTAACATCCATAAAAACATTAATGTCCAGACCGGCTCTAGGGTCCGCCAAGCCTCCTAGACAATGGGTACCGGCGGATGTTTCCCCGGAGTAAAGCAGCAGAGGCATGAAGCTCACCATTCACTCTCTTCTGGTGTTTAGGTTAAGAAGAGTGGACCTGTACCTCCACTTCCACATAGGCGTCCATGACGTGGTTCTTAATTAATTAAGCAGAGGAATGATTTTACCTTTACCTTCACCTGTACTCATTTAGGCAGCGTCTATTACAGTAGGCTAATAAAGACAACGGTTTCATTTGAGACAGCGAATACGAGTACAATCCTAAAAAGGCTTGCGACAGTTAAAATTATAATATTATGCTGCCTTAGCTATGGTATTTAAATTATAAAACGTTTCGGAAGCTAGTTCTTCCGTCGTCAGGTGTAAAGAGAGGAAAGGATCCCACTCAATCGAGCCCGTTAAACATAACTAGCCTGATGACGGAAGCAGAACCAGCTTCGAAACATATAATTAAAAATATAACTAGGGCAACAGACAAAGTCCGACACGGTAGTTTTGTATTGGTGAATACAGTCATACATGATACGGGAAATACATGCTGTTTATGCAACAGGTCTTAATTTGATCAAGTTATCACATTGTGTGAGACGATCCTCAGACAGGGAACTCACCATACAGAGATTTAACTTCAGCCCCAAGGGATGTCCTAGGCGAATGGCCTTCAAAAAGAAACCTCACCAGGTTAAAGAATTCACCCTACGGCAACTCTCAGATACAAGGATCGCTGCAACATGGAATTCACCAAGATAAATTGTTCAGAATATGACAAGGAACTCTGAAACTTCTGAAAACGCGATCAGAAAGTATGGACAAGGAAGCGACATCATTACTTATTAACATCAACATTCTCTTTCATAAATTTAACTTTAATGAGTTCCTTGTCCTTTGCTGGGGTAAGTTCTGCCCATTTCACTCACCTTGGTGAGTTCCTTGCCTGTAAGAAAAAGTTCCTGCTCTGATGGGTGACTTAGCTTGAGTTCCATATCCTGGTGAGTTTTCTCTCTTCCTTTCTAGGTTGAGTTCCTGGTGAGTTCCATGTGGTATTTGCCTTAGTGAGTTCCCTGGCTTGACGAATCAAGATTCAGATTCTTCTATCGGTAAGTTAATGTACTGGTGAGTTCGATATAATGATGCATAGTTTTGTGAAATTCATTTGCCATATCACCAGACCTACTTTATATTTGTCAACGCCAAGATAAAGACCTCCTTCATACATTCTGGCCCATATAGCTGTTTCGCGTCAGTACAGACAAAGGATCTAACTCTTACTTAAGTACTAATATTATTTTTAAAACCTGTCAAGTTCGCGTGCACCGAAATGGCGGATCGCACGTTTGTAATTGGTAGGTTGTCCTATCTTGTCCTATACGGATGTATATCAAACCATGAGATTTAAAAATAAAAACAACGTTACATGGTTATGTTCGGACCTTTTCTCAGTTATGGTTTCTTTCATGCATAACCGTAACATGAATTCTTTGTTAAAACGGAGAAACTCGCACTGTTAAAGCTTTCAACCTTTAAACTCTTGAACGATTTCCATACAGAAAATGCATGAACACCTTTAAAATATGATAATCTGCATCATTATCTAAAATAAAGTGATTATGCCACTTCGTGAATCGTTTAGGCCAGTAATGACGTCATCGATCGTCCTTGGTTCCCTCTTGCAGTTTTTTTTATTGCTAGTGGGGTGGGACTGAGTCCCTTGTATTGCGGCCACTTCTGGGCTAATGTACCGGCCCCAGATGATAGGTGAGGGTGATTGTGGAGCAATTGGTGGAATGAAGATTGGCAGTGGAAACCGAACTACTCGGAGAAAACCTGCCCCAGCGCCACTTTGTCCACCACAAATCCCACTTGACCGAACCCGGGCCGCCGCGGTGGGAAGCCAGTGACTAACCGCTTGAGCTGTGCCGCGGGCCCCTCTTGCAGTTGGCCGGTGTTTCATTACATGACCAAGCCACTGACAATTCTGACGAACTCTGTTTACTTTGAAGAAAGCAGTCTTCTGGGATTTGGCACGGTGTATATGTGGTGTTAACCGACGTTTCGGAGGAACGTATCGCCTCCATCTTAAGGGTAGAAGATTTCTTATATATTTTTTTTTCTACCCTGAAGGTGGAGGCGATACGTTCCTCCGAAACGTCGGTTAACACCACATATACACGGTGCCAAATCCCAGAAGACTGCTTTCTTCATAGTCACAGCCGTGAAAGCCTCAAATCTGTTTACTTTCTTTCGTAATATCTCAGCCCGTTTTATGATCGAGAGAACATGAATATTAAAGTAATGTTTTTTATAGCTTTCATTGTTTACATTGCTCAGAAATATTATCCCCTTATCCCACAATTTTTTAAGGAAGTTGGTACCTTTTAATCCATTTGTTTTACGTCTCAAAACCATTAGGCTCCAAAGCAAATGATAATTGAGCCTGTGTTATTCATAAAGCTGATCACAGTTTTGTTTCTGACTCGTTTACTAACTCAAAAGACCAAAGATTCTGAATTATCTGTAGAAATGTCCATTCATTGTTTTCCATTAACTTAATAAATATCGGAGATGGCATGTGAAGATTATCTTCCGGCTTAGCCATTATTTTTGGCCATGGTTAATATGTAATGGTTTCATTTTCTGTGGTAAGTAAACGCAACATTTAAGCTCGCACATTGCGGGCTAGTCCGAACTCACATTTCCACTATGCTAAAACCTACCAATATGTGGAAACAAGAGTGTCTATTTAGGCAGGGAGACTGGTCAACCAGGATTCATACTCGTACATCTCGTTACATCAACATGATTCTAAATTAATATAACGAGACTTCCCAGAAAGACTACATTTGTGTGACATGGATTGCGTTTTAGGCCGTCTTAGTGTAGTGCAACCCACTATTCAGAAATCATCCATAAACCCGCCCAGTGCCTATGCCGACCATCTCAACGGGACTTCCCATCCCTGGCCTCTGCACTCGCCAATGCTGTGAAGAGCAACACACCTGAAACCACCCATCTCCCGCCATTCTGTGTTAACCCTTCAAATCCCAGTGGATCCTACATGTGTCACCTGCTTTAACATACTAAACTCTGCACTCTGCCCACAGAGTGTACTTGTGTGGTCCGTACTGTTCTCATAATAAACAGAGACTATTTCCCTAAACAGCATTAACCGGCTGGTTTTTGTAGCGGAGACGTAATGTGTTTCCTGTAAGGTACGAACTCGACTTTTATACATTATAAAAGTAATTGAGGATAAAGTTGAGAACGCAGCTGTAAAAAACAAATTAAAACTGTATACCAAGTTTCATTAGACATGATTTAAAGCCAACAGACCAATGGAATAATGTATATAATACACATGTACATGCCTATGTATGTTTTTATTTAATTATAAGCACTTCACTGAAGTTGCCTATTGTATCTGCTAGTCAAGTAAAGTAATATTAAGGGCAATACACTCGTGCAATAGGTTGTTGCGCAAGACACATGTACGGTGTTTACTGTACTACCCAATTCTCACCCATCCACCCCCTACTCGAAGCCGCCCCTGTAAAAGACAACTTATGGGCTAAACGTTCGGTGGTTTTCTTGCAGAAGTTACACTGTACCTGTATATATTTTGCTGTCACAGCAGGGAAGCACAAGACGCAAATGTAAAGGCACCGCCTTCCATTTTGAACAATGAAATATCGGACAACTAGTCTTTTGCGATGAAGGCATACTTAACGTTCTCCAACCACTTCCACGCTGTTTTATAACTTAAGTAATGGGAAATGCACACTGTAAATTGCACATCGTCATATTATTACATAAATGTTGATATTACTTTGGTATGAATGTTCAGTTCACTGTATTAAAGGTATACTCTGTAATCTAGTATTAACATTTGTAATACTGTGGGTCAATGAATACAGTTAATTCCTCTGAAACACCAATGTTTGATGTTCCAATACTGTCATTGCTGATTGACAATATTCTAAAGATGTAATTTCTTGCTCAAGTTCGGTAAACACATTCAACAGTTCAATTCAGCACGGCTTATGCTCTCGTCTAATATTATTTTTCCAAATATCAGTATAAAATATAGACATACAGAATTCTGTGCTGGGTGTGAAACCTAGTCTCTCAAATCTGAGGGAAGAACAGACAATGAATATGTTCTAGAACAAAGTATATTTGTTCAAGGGAAGGAACGAATTATAGTGTAAGGGAGAAAATTACATAACAGATGCATAATTTGTACTCTTCGCGTAATATTCTAAGAGTAAAGAAAGGTAAAGCTATCCCTGTAACAAATCGTGGAGGCCCATTGGGTTGAGAGACATAGAGGATCCCACATTTTCTAGACAATCGCATCATAGATGGCGGTGAGGTTGTCAGCCTTACGCGCTGACAGCTCTTTACCTCTCAGGAAGATTCCTGGCACTCATTTCTGTTTGTAGCTGAGTCGACCTAAGGGCCATAGTGTGGTTGGAAGGATTAGGTCAGTTGAAAAAATCCAGTGACATCGGGAATCGAACCCGCGGCGTTCCTGCCTGTAGCATAGTGCCTCAGCCAACTACGCTACAGCACGCCCCATTCTTAGGATAATCTTTTTTGACTGGGAAGGCTCTAAAATCATGCAAGCATGCACGAGGCATTGTGTTGAAACGCCTCATGGGACGAGATAACTTAATAAACGGAGGCCTAGTTGTGAATATATTATTAATATGGATATTAGAAATAGCCTGCATCCGAGCCTAGATTGCAGCGCGGTAGGGTTTACCTTGCGAAAACGAAGCACAGTGACTACAAAGTATTACCTAGCTATAAAAGGAAGTTTCTTCAAGAAACATCAGATATAATTTACAGAAGATTTTGAGCCACGACTGAATTAATAATGAGGGATAATGTTGTTTCGCAGGAGGCGGTCCACACTTGTGATTCCAAAGGTGAGGCCCGAGGACGCGGGTGTGTACCGATGTGAAGCAAAGAGCGTCATTGGAGCGGACGCTAACATGACTGCGAGGGTCACTGTAGTCTCCGATACAAGACCAGAAAACAGTAAGTCTATTTTTGGTCATTCTTACTGAGAATATTCATTCCAAATAAGAATGCCCTTCAATTTTCTCAGGCACTATCCACTGTCAGAGGCAGAGGTCCAACTGATGTTACCTCGAAAGAAAAATTACGTTCTAAACATTCAACCCTCGAAAAATATACATTTTTTTGCGTATCACACTCTTGAAAATTTTCTACTTTCAAATGGAAACCTCAACACGGAATCGTACCGAAGCATTTGAGCTTCTGTGGTATGTACGTAATCTATATATGTATCTTATAACACAAAAATTTCTGTTCAGCAGACTGCTTGAAGTCTGTAAAGCCATAAAAGGGCCTGCATATTCAAGAATTGTCTCATAACTTAAGTTCTGAAATATTTTTATCAGTATTTTAAGTTTATTTCAATCTTAAACGCTGTAATCAAAATCTCTTATTTATTTATTGGGGGGCACAGGGTAGCGTCGTTGGTTGAGGTACTATGCTACAAGCCGGAAGGTCGCGGGTTCAAGTCCCGATGCGGTCATTGGAATCTTCTTCAAATGACCTAATCCTTCCAGCCGCACTATAGCCCTGAGATCGACTTAGCCTCTAACAGAAATGAGTACCAGGAATTAATTAAATAATTTTCCTGGGGAGTAAAGCGCGGCCGGCGCGTAAGGCTGACAACCTTACCGCCATTTTGAGCCGATTGTCTAGATAGTGTGGGATCCTCAACGTCTCACAACCCTATGGGCCTTCACGGCCTGGTACAGGGATAGCTTTGCTTTACTTGTTTTTTTACTTATTTATTTATGTAATTGATGTATTTATTTATGTTGAAATATAGAATAAGAATGTTCATACTCCGATACTGAGTTCATAAAGTACTGAACATAAGTCTGTCAGTACATATGGAGTAGCATTTCATGGATTCCAATTATAAAAAAATAATTTAATGGTCCTGTCACAGGACATAAAATTGTTGTACTAAACTTGTATTTATTTTTGGACCATCACAATCCCTTTTGTTTTTCATCCAAAAATTCATTAAAATGAACAACAGAAGCATTCAAGGGCTTTCCATCTCTTAGCTAGGTACTTATAAGTAAAACAGTGTGACGAAGGCGCCATAATGAAATCACAGATTGATGGCGTATAACACGCGAAAAATTGGGTCGAGAACACGAGTACATGGCGACAACCATCTCTCTGTCCCCCTTCACGTTTCTCATTATATTCTTATAGGAACTGTGGGCGTAAATCTCACAGTAAATTACAGCATTAGTCAATTTATACGCAACAGGGAAATAAAGAGAGAAAAATAAAGGCATGAAATTTAAAACATTATTCTGCGTGCGGCGTAAATTTTCGCTGATTAACCCTTTATGAATGCGTTGGTCTCTCTTCAATTATGCACAGCGACGGTTGACAAGACCTGTCCTGGTCACTGTACAAATGAATCCGGCCAGGTTCGAGGCTTCTTGCAATTCTTCGTAAATTTTGAAAATGTGGTACAGCTCAGATATTTGGGAACGACGACAACAAATCAAAACATGATTGAGGAGGAAATTAAGAGGAGACTGAATTCGGGTAATGCTTGCTACCATTCAGTTCAGAACCTTTTGTCTTCTCGTCTGCTGTATAAAAACATAAAAATGAGGATATACGAAACTATAATTATGCCTGTGGTTCTGTATGGGTGTGAAACCTGGTCTCTAACTTCAAGGGAGGAACATAGACTCAGGGTGTTTGAGAACAGGGTGCTGAGGAGAATATTTGGACCGAAGAGATGAAGTGACAGGAGGGTGAAGAAAACTGCATAATGAGGAGCTTCAGAACTTGTCCTCTTTCCCCCCCCCCTTGGCATTACAGCCCCAGTGGGGCCTACCTCCATGAACTTCTCCGTTCACTTCGGTTTTTCTAGATCTTAGACATTCGGTAGGACTCCTTGGGCGAGTAATCAGCTCGTCGCAAGGCCTCTACCTGTAGACAAACACAGAAAAACGCACACACACAAACTAAACATCCATGCCCTGAGTGGGATTCGAACCCACGATCCCGGTTTCCAAGCGAGCGAAGACAGTACATGCCTTAGACCGCTCGGCTACCGTGACCGGCACTTGTACTCTTATCCACGTATAATTAGAATGATCTAGTCAAAGAGGATCAGATGGACTGGGCATGTAGCACGAATGGGGAAGAGGAGGAATGCATATAGGGCTTTTGTGGGAAAGCCAGAAGGAAGAAGACCACTGGAAAGATCCAGACGTAGGTGGGCGAACAATATTAAAATGGATCTTAGAGAGATAGGCTGGTATGGTAAGGATTGGATTGATCTGGCCCAGGATAGGTACCAGTAGAGGGCTCTTGTGAACACGGTAATGCTGGGAAGTTGTTGAGTAGCTGCACAACTGGCAGCTTCTCAAGAAGGTCTCGGCTCCATGAGTGAGTGGGTCACTATATAAATTTGGTACTTAGATCGGGCATCTGGTGCATTGACCCGTTCACTGGCCCGAGCTGTGGGTCAAGCAGATATCAATGCATATATAAGGCAGCTCGTAGCATGTCTACAGAATAAAATGCGTGGAGATTCGAAGATAAATGAGACATGTTGAGGAACGTCGTCGCGACGCTGCTCTGTGCGTGTGTGACGAGAGACGCTCCAGGCAGACCGCCGCCATTGTGTGGCCCCTCCCACGTCAGTACAGCCTTCTACAGACTGTATGCAACAGATGACAGATCCTCAATAGTACCATCATCAATATTCAATATCCACCTCGAGGAGTCGCCATATAGACGGGCGTCGCAGTCCACGAGTTCCGAGCCACCATTATCCAGCCCGTCACCCCAAGTCCTCGCAGCAAAACGATGGAATTGTGGTCGCATCCTTTCTTACTCATCCTCTTCATCAGCCTATGTTGCAGGATATTAATTATGTGACCAAAACTACAGAGAAAAAGATATCCCACCTCATTTTCCCTTTTCTGTTCCTTTTCATATAAATATTTTTTTTCTCTCAGTTCTCTTGGAAAGGAGACCAATGCGACAAGGAGTCGACAGGGAGGAGAAATTCTTTCGATCCACTCTTTACTGCCATTCCCCCGTTCTTCTCTCTATCTACGGTTATTATTTTCCCTATTCTATTACTTATGTTTATTCGCTGTTATCCTAACCCTATTCTTTCTCAGTTCCATTTTAGTTTCCATATTACTCTTCTCTCGACCGCCTCTGTGGTCTAGTGGTCAGCGTTCCTGGCTACAGATCCAGAAGTCCAGGTTCGATTCCCGGCGCTACCAGATTTTTTCGGAGAAGTAGTAGTTGGTCAGAAACGGGGTCCACTCAGCCTCGTGATGATAACTGGGGAGCTATTTCAAGGAAATAGCGGCTCCGGTCTAGAAAACCGAAATTAACGGCCGTGGGGATTCGTTGCGCTGACCACGCGACACCCTCTATCCGCAAAAAGTTGTCACTAAAACTTCGCCGACAAGCGGCGGTCGCTCGGTCGGTATAGTTCGCTTGCGGACTAAAATCACGGAGTTTTATTTTTTATTACTCTTCCACCCCACTCTTTATACCCATCATATTTACCTCTTTTTTTCTCTTCCAGCTATTAATTCATCCTTTTTCTTTCTCTGCTCCCAATGTTCATTATTTGTATCGTCTTTCTTTCTTCTCTTTCTATGGCTTTTGGACCGTGCCCGCTTTATTCCCCGTTTCTTAATCGTATACAGTCAGTAGGGCTCCTTGGACGAGGGATCAGCCGGTCGCACAGCCGCTATATATATACGTAGAGCAACACAGACGCAGAATAAACTCATACAGACATCCTTGCCTAGAGTGGGATTCGGACCCAAGATTCCAACTTTCAAGTGGACGAAGACGATTCATGCCTTTGACCGCGCGGCCAATGTGATCGTCATTCTTCTCTTTCTCCTATTATTTCGTCAATTTCCATTGTTCTCCTGTTATTTTTGTTCCTACTACCCCGCTCTTCATGCTCATCGTACTGCTTCTATGCTCCTTCATCCTTATTCTTATTATTCTACTGCTTATGTTCTTTCTTCTGTCCTATTTTTCTTAATATTTCATCTCTTCCTGCTCCAATTTATACTCCTTATTCCCCATGTCCTCATTCTCATCCATCGTTCACCGTACCTAGTTACGTTTGTCTCTGTCTCGTTTTACTCCTGCGCCTATTTCCCCAACCTGCGTTTCATCCTCGTCCTGTTCTGACTACGAGTACATCGCAATCTCCATGTTGCCCTCCACAGATAGATACTGCGTACAAGAAACAAGACCTAGATTTGTGGCTGAGCTGACTGACTTCCATAAGTGGAAAGCAGTGTTCTGCTTCCAGGATGTAGTAAAGATCACACTGCTGCTGCTGTGCAGATTCATATATTTCTGTGTCTTCTAGATACACGATACAAGTTTTTAACTTCAATTTGACAGATTTGGGGAGGTTTGTACTCTCATTTGTCGTGATGGTAGCCACGTGGCGTCACATTCCTGGAAGGAAACATGAATTGCTGGAAGCTAAGTTTGTGGATTATGTCCTCTTAATCTTCAAAATGCCGGTCACGGTAGCCGAGCGGTCTAAGGCATGGACTGTCTTCGCTCGCTCGGAAGCCGTTATCGTGGGTTCGAATCCCACAAAAGGCATGGATGTTTGGTGTGTGTATGCGTTTATTCTGTGTTTGTGTTGTCCTGTGTTTAGGTAGAGACCTTGCGACAAGCTGATCACCCGTCCAAGGGGTCTTACCGTCTGTAAAAAGATCAGTGAAACTGAGAAATCAGCCCTATGCTCCAAAGTTGGAGCGAGAGGAATGAAAGAAAGAACCTTTAAATGGGTTGCGTTAAAGTAACTACGCAAAGTATCTATGCAATTTTCCAGCAACAAAAACGGATGCTACTAGTTAATTACGTCACGTTAGATGCGATACAAATATGTCTGTAATGCTGAGAAGATATTCTGCCGTGTGTTTCTTTAAGTATCCATCTTACAACGGTACAATACCATC